AACATTTTCTAACTGTTGACTGGTAAATATAAATATTATTATTCTTTATGACAGTAAGAATAAATGTTAAATATTATTACTAGCTGAATCATCATTTTTCAACAAGCTAAAGTCTAAGTTACAGGCTGACTTCAGGTCTGGTTTAGATCATTGCTACTTATAAATTATGTATTTTCCTGGTATAAATCTGCTGTTTTACATGATTGTTGAATGAAATTAATAGTTATTGATTTATTATAAAAACACGACAGATAATCTGTGAAACAGATCTGGTTCAGCTTGATGTTTATTTATTAGTTTCTATGGTGGCTGTGAGCTGTCGTCCTGTTTGGTCTCAGTTTCTGCTCCTCCATGCTGCCACAGATGTTACCAGTGGACGCTATGGGAGGGGCTCACTCTAGTGTTTTTATTCAAGTCTATGGACTACGTTCAGCATGCAGCCCTCTGCAGTGGAAAGAGCTGAAAACATGCTCTCTCAATGATCCAAACTAAATATAATTGTGCTGCAGGTGTTTAAAGGTGCAGAGAGTCAGTTCTCAGTTCATGTGGAATACAGATGGACTGGTCAGTAGAACTCACGCTAATCTGTCTTTGCTCTCCTCCGGGGTCAACTGGTCAAAGGTCTTGGCCTCCTCCTTGCCCAGGAAGGCCTCGTGGTCGTACTGGTAGCCGTGACTGTCATCGTGGGCGTGGTCACTCAGGTCGGCCTGACGATGGACGCGCTTCTCCTGAGCAGGAACAGCAAAGACCACCGCCGCCAGAGCGCAGAGGAACACCAGTGACCTCAGCAGAACCATGATGGACGTCTGCAGACTGCAGGACCCAAACAGAACCAGGACCGTGAGGACAACTGAATCAGAGTCTGACACTGAGGAAATAAAGATGGAGCTAAAGATCTGGTGGAACTGTGTTCTCAGCAGAACCACCTAAAAACAACAATTCTTCTATAAACACAAATTTATCTTTACTGCTGGGACTAAATAAAGTCTGTCTGATAGAGCTTTAAGCAACATTAGTGGGTGGTGTTCACATGTGTCTTCTTTGTGTGATAGAGCTTTAAGCAGCATTAGTGGGTGGTGTTCACATGTGTCTTCTTCTTTGTGTGATAGAGCTTTAAGCAACATTAGTGGGTGGTGTTCACATGTGTCTTCTTCATTGCGTGATAGAGCAGGGGTACCGTTTTTATTGGCCCGCAGCAAATTCTGAAAATATAACTGAATATGGCCCGCACAAGAATTTTTAGCTCAACTCTGTTGCACTTCTCAGTTTCAACACTGGATGGAGCCAGCCACAGAAATGAAATTATAGAGAAGAAGAAACTTGTGACTGTGACACTCTTTGTCTTTGTGACTGTTTGTCTTCTGAAATGCGCCGAAGAAACAAAAAATAGCAAGTGTAGGAAATTTCTAACACAGGGGGAAAATGAGTATTTTTTCAAAGAAATCAACGGAAAGTGTGTATGTTTGATTTGCAGTGAAGACGTAGCTGTGATGAAAGAATATAATGTCCGTCGGCATTATGAGGCCGGCATTTCGTGCTAACAAAATACAGGAAAATGCCACAACAGCAAGTTATGAAGTCGTTCAACTTATTGCCCAGCATGGCAAACCGTTTTCAGGTGGTGATTTCATAAAGCAGTGTCTCATCAAAGTCACAGAAATAATGTGCCCAGAAAAAGTGTCTGATTTCAACAATGTGAGCTTATCCAGAAATACGGTGGTGTGGAGAATTGAGGACTTGTCGGCTAACATGAAACTTCAGCTGGGAGACAAAGCTTGTAGTTTTGATTTTTACTCGATAGCATGCGATGAGAGCACGGACGCCACAGACACTGCGCAATTGTTAATTTTTTTGTGGTAGTAGCTGATAATTTTTGCTGTACGGAGGAGCTGCTTGATATGATGAGCCTAAAAGGCACAATGACAATAAAAGATATTTTTGAAGCTGTGTCAGAGGCAGTTGAAAAGATGGGGCTTAATGGGACAAGCTGTGTGGAGTAACAACGGATGGAGCTCCTGCCACGACAGGTGAGCGCAAAGGAATGACATCATTGATGTGCGCCAAGGTAAAAAAGATCAAAGGTGAGGCTATCAGGATGCTCTGTATAATCCACCAAGAAGCACTGTGTGCACGATGTGTTTCTCATTATTACAGTAAAACTGATCCATTTATGTTTTCATTATTTTACAGAAAATGGTGTGAAGGACAGTTAACCAACCCCTCACTTGAACTTAAAACCCCGTCTTCACATAGTTGAGTTAGAAATACACAAATCATTGATGTATCAATGTGTCACTTCAAGTGTGTGCCCTTTGTTTATTTTTCTGTATTTGGCCCTCACTAAAAAAGGTTTGGACACCCCTGTGATAGAGCTTTAAGCAGCTTTAGTGAGTGGTCTTCTTTGTGTGATAGAGCTTTAAGCAGCTTTAGTGAGTGGTCTTCTTTGTGTGATAGAGCTTTAAGCAGCTTTAGTTGGTGGTGTTCACATGTCTTCTTTGTGTGATAGAGCTTTAAGCAGCTTTAGTGAGTGGTCTTCTTTGTGTGATAGAACTTTAAGCAGCTTTAGTAGGTCTCTTTTAATCCTGAGTCTGATCTGTTGACAATAACCTCATTAATCACATGTACTGACATGCTGTCTGAATCTCGTCAAACACAACACGGTGCATTATGGGTAACCATCTCTGCTCTGGTCTCATAGCTCCAGAAGTCTTTTGGTTTCTTCAGATGAACTTACCTGGTGCAGCTGTGTGGTTTTAGAGAGGAAAGACTCATCATCYGCAGCCATACCTGTTACTCACTGTCCTGTCGTGACCTTTAACCTTTAACCTTTAACCTTACTAACTGAAACCTGTAGACTGAGCTCTTCCATCCATCCAGTCATTCATTTCCTTCACAAGTWGTGGGTGGAGCTGGTGCCGACCTCCAGCAGTGCAGAGAGGAGGGGACAGTCTGGACAGGGGTTCAGATGGAGTACTGTTTTTTTTACGACCTAACCCAGAGTGATCTTTAGAAGAACGCTGGGACTCCATGAAGACTGGCAGCTAAGATGCTGAATGTAAAAATGACCTTTGACCTTTTCCAGCAACAGTTGCTTCTCTGAGGTCATTGCTGATGTCTTTCTACCTTGTGCTGCAGTTTTTACAGAGGTCCTAAATAAACTGTTACTGTTATAGCAGCTCCTGACAAATTAAACACAAAAATGAGTAAATCAGATTATAATCCACAGCTTTMACTTTCTTGGTCACTGAGAAGACTGCAGTAATGGCAGAGTTTAAATGTCAGCTGATGATCAGATTTTTCTTCTTAATTTGRTCTAAGCAACAGAGAAGTTTAATAAATGAAGGCGCTCCTTCAGTCTAACAGTGTCTGCAGTGAATATAAACTGAAACATCTGRACTTCTAACATCAAGCTAAAGGAGGAAACATGGACTCACCAGCTCCGTGGACTCTTCACGCAAAACTTCCACAGTAAGTTAGAGGAACATCAGTCCGCGTTGGCACTCTGCTGCTTTAAATAACAGAGGCTGGAGGCGGGGCTTGTCTCAGAAAGAGCCAATCAGCGACGGGCCTGGTCAGATTTCTAACCAATAGTAAGAGCCGCCGTGTGGGACTCCGCTTCAAGACAGATTCTTATTGGCTGTTAATCGCCACGTTGTCACGCGCTCTCCCGTTCAGGGAAACTCCTCATTTGCAGATGTTCTTTTAAAGTCTCCCCCCTCCGTCCCGCTTCAAGTATGACACTGATATCCATCTGTTTATTCATCCATTTATCTTTTAATCCATCCATCCATCT